CTTCAGCTTCAGGTATTTGGACCTGGATAAGAATATTTTCTCTTTCAAGATTGCATCCCCTTTTCTCTCTTGCTTTTTATCTCTGAGGCCATGTCTCCACTTATGCACTGGAGGTTGATTTTCTGGCATTCAATTTAGTAGGCCTAGTTAAGATCCACTAAACTGAACACTGAGGGTGCCTCCAATTGATGCTGGTGCTCCTTGCAGTTGTGAGGAGTAATGGAAGCCGATGGGAGTATTTGCTCCTGTGAGCCTCCTACTGTGAAGATGGTGCTAAGCTCAGCTTAAGGTATGCTGACTCCAGCTACCTATTTTATATAGCTGGAGCTGCATACCTTAACCCAACCTTCTTAGTCGCATGTAGACCTGGCCTGAAAGATAAATCTAGTACTGGATTTTATTTTGATGGAGTTTGGCTTGTTTTTTTTTCTTTTGGATGTGTTTGTTTGCTATTCTGGATATATCACTACTACTATAAAGCTAGGGGGGTAACTTCTTTCTAAGTGGCTAAGTCTACACCAGTACTTTACAGCACTGTAATTTTCTGACTCCAGTGTATGAAACACACCCTATGAGTGAAGCATGTTACAGCTTTGTAAAGCATCAATGTGAACCACGTTACAGCATTAGGAGCCACGCTCACTGTTAACTACTTCCTTTGTGAAGGTGGTTTACTTAGAGCACTAGATCTCTCTCCCAGCACTTGTGCAGTGGCCATACTTTCCATTTAAATCACTGCCGTGGCTGCATTTCAAACTTTTAATTATAGCCAAAGCTAGTGTAGTATAGTAGTCAGAGCAGACGAGGACCTGGAAGTCAAGTCTGAAAGGTTCCTGAATTTGTTGTTAGCTATCATAATATTTGGCAAGACAACCTGTTTATGCAAAAATGTCCCCTCTTATAAAATGTTGGTAATAACAATACATATCTATAATGAGCAGTCCTGTAGCACTTTATAAGCATTTGTGGGCAAAACCCACATCCTCAGATGAGCAGAGGAAGAATCTACTCCTCTGAGGAAATGGGTTTTACCCATGAAAGCTCAAGATACAATATATATTTTGTTACTTTCTAAGGTGCCACAGGACTACTCATTTTTAAAGTTATGGACTAACACAGCTACCCTTCTGACACCTTTAATACATATCTATGTGATGGGATGATAATTATCATAATCACTTTTAGATTCTAAGATGAAAGGATTTGTATGCACACAGATAATTATAATTATTCCATCTTTTTCCCCTCACTAAATGTTATCTCCAAAGTCCTGATTTATTTAAACTTATAATAAGTATATTTTTTAAAAAGTTGCTTGAATAGTAATCTCATAAACAGGAAAATTACAGGAATATTTAGATATTTCTTGAGAATAACTAGATTTATTTTTCTTTTCCAGTAACACATTACATTTGGTCTCTCCAACCAAAACTGAAGTGATTCCACCTCTGATTGAGAACAGAGAGTCATGGACATCTTGCAAACCCTTCTTCATTGGTCTAAATTACTGTACTAAAGTAGCTTACTCTAATGCCAGCTACACAGCTGCAGCACCATACTTCCCACTGACTGGAGAAACCAGGTAAATCATTTCATCCTTGACTGTATCTCTATTATGGCTGCAAATACATATTTCTTTTTTCATATACTTAAATAACAGATAGGAAGGATCAATTCAGAAACAAAATTGTTGGGAATTCAGGTGGTTTATATCCTTTGCTATACTAATTGGATATGGTAATTACTAATATAGGTGCCCTTTTCCTCATTCTGAATTCTCTAGGATTGAAATTGAACTACAGCCGACAGGGGAGGTAGAGGAGTACTCTGCAAATGCTAACTATGAGCTACAGAGAGAGGAAAATGACCTGGTAGACACTTTGAAATTTACCACCGAGACAAAAGGTAAGAATCTAGAGAACAATCAGATTTAGCTTTTTTTTGAATTGTGACATTGCTATGAAGAAAAATAGTTTTAAAAGATCAGCATTGCTATTTAAAACATACAGATCAATTGTTGTACCCAATTGCTCAGTTTTATGTAGATGAGTGTTTCCAGTGCATAACTGTTTGAAGGACCATAGTTATATTTGGTACCTTAAAATGTTTAGGGTATTAAATAAAAAAAATTGATATATGAAAGCAATAATGAAGGGAAATTACAGTGAGCATTGTAAGCAAGAGAAAAGATGCATTGCTAGGTGAAATATTAAAATAAATGGCTAGTCAATAATGCAAAGAAACACAGAAAATCTGTTGCAGAAAAAAGGAGTTGCACCAATATCAAATCGTATGGAGACAAACTGAAGGAGAGCAGTGGTAGATAAAGAGAGAGAGATCAGAGACATAAGTAAAGACAATATAGCTGCTCCAGCAGGATGGATGAAATCCCTAGACATTTGAAAGAACAAAGAGAGCAAATTTCAGTTTGAGAACTCAAATTGTGCTCTTCACTATCTGCATTAGACATTTGAGGTAATGCTATTTTCAAATGCGTATTTTTTTCTCATCCTTCCTCCCATAAATCCTAAAAAAGGACCTCTCTTAATGTTGCATTATTCAGGTACAAGACAAAGTGAGGCCTCACTAACCTTCAGATACAATAGAGACAAGAAGATTTTGACCAGTGATTTTCAAATTCCAAATTTTGATATTGACTTCGGTACCAACTTCAGAGTCAATGATGAATCCACTCTGGATATGAGGGCATATACCTTTATCTTAGACATCAGTAACAAGAAGATTCCTGAAGTTACTCTTACTGGTCGCATAAGGTAATCCTAAAATCCTCTTAGATTTTCCAAAGATTTTACAACTAGCTGAGTGTTTTTTCAGTAGGGTTTTCAGGAGTATGTTCTTCTAGATACACAAAGATCTACTTCTGTCTCTACTCAAAACCCTCTCTTAAAAATATACCAGCAAGTGAGACCCGTCGTTGACCGGGCAAAGTAATTTTGCTTAGATTACACTTCTAGGAAAGATCTAGAAATTAAACATATGTAATAGAAAGTTTATTAATGTTCTTGCAAAAGGGAAGTAAAAGAACTGTCTTAAATTTGTAGGATTTAAACTTCAAACATTCTTTATTTTATTCAATTATTACCATACACAGTAAATTTGAATCAGAAACTCATAAAGCTTCCATTACTCTTTCTGTAACTAATTTGAATTATTTTGTGCACAAAAAGGCTTCTTCCTCATGTGGAGAGGAATAACTCCTGTGCAAAAAGCCCTCTCTTCTGACGACCTACTGTAAACTTTCTTGCGCAAGAACGGGTTTGTAGTGTGGATGCTCTGCAAGTTTTTGTGCAAGAACAGGCATCTTGCGCAAGAATCCTGCAGTGTAGACATAGCCTGAGTGTTTACTGAGTTGTTAAAAAAAAAACTATTCCTGATACTATTGTGAGTTTATCCTGAGTAAGGATAAAATACTAATTTGGCCCATATATCCCTAGACCGACAGAGCTCTACAGTAGTATTATAATAATCTTCCTTTATCAGTGAGTTACAAGGAAATCAATGGGATTTCAATGCACTCATCAGCTCAAGGGCCAAACTCCTAGATCCAAAATAAACCCATTCTTTATACCACCCAGAATTCCTTTTTTACAGGTCTAAATGCTTTACTGCTCCTGAAAAAGTGCCAGCTATAGCATAGCCAAACAGGTGATGCTCACGTTTGCTATCATTTTGCTTTCACAGATATGATGGGAAGAAAGAGACAGTGCTGGGAGGTGTCATTTCTATCCCTCGCCTGCAGACTGAACTTAGAACTGAAGCATTGCTTCATCATCCACCAAATAGGTTTTCTCTTCAGATGGATTCATCTGCAACAGTTTATGGGAACTCGATCTCAGAGACAGTTGTTTTCAGATATGGTATGGGCATTTGGCATGATTTAGAAACTTCACTCCTATGTGAAAGACATACTTATAATCTCCTGTTACGTCTGTTATCCAGTACCTCTCTATACCCAATAAGCCATACAAAAGTAATGTGATTGTTAATTTTCCTCCTTTCCGCCCCCCTCATGATTTTCAGATAATGAGAAGATTGAACTAGAGTGGAACTCAGGCACAAGCACTGCACTGAAAAAAATGTCTGACAGCTTCCCTGTAGACTTTGCTGACTACCCGAAAGCTTTACAGAAGCATGCCAATGAGCTGCTGGACCGGAAAGTGGCTAATACAGATATGACATTGCGGCATATTGTCTCACAACTCATTGTGGTAAGTGTGAATATTTCTTCTACAAATATTACAGCTTCACTACTCTGAGGAGCACTTGTGAATAGATCCAGGCATTTTACTGGGACTACTTGTGTAAATATTCACCAGTGTGTTTAAGAGTTGTATTATCAGATCCATCTGCTCCTCTCCAGAAAAGCACTCAATCATGTGCTTAACTTTAAACCTGTGGGTAATCCCACTGACTTAAAGCCAACACTTATTTCATATTACTCTGTAAGACACATCCACTGTGTTATTGCAGGCAACCCGTACCTGGCTGCAGAAGACATCCAAGGATGTTCCTTATGCCCAAACTTTACAAGATAAACTAAATGGACTGCAGGATCTGAACATTCTGCCTGTTATTACCATCCCGGAGGAACTCTTTCTGAAAAGGTAAATGGGGAAATAAGAACAGTCATCACAGGGAAAGGAAACTGAAAAGTTTTTCAGGAATTTCTAATTTAAAATGTGGGTTGACCTTGTTTTAGACAATAGAACATAATGTTCATAACAAAGAATGTTAAGAGGAGTAATACATATGTTGGGTCTGAGCCTCAGCTAACGTCCATTGGAGCTGATTTACACTACCTAAGATCTGGTCCATCTCATATCAGTGTATCATGCACTTCATATCCCTTAGCAGACAATGAATAGTTTTCTTTTATGTTTTCTCTTGCTGTGATAACATGACGCTCATGTTAGGCACAAGCATCTTCATTGCTTTCAGTCTGTTCCTGGTCTGAGTATGGGTGGAGAACCAAGTGATCTTTCTCCTGTGGTCTTCTTATCAACTATGCCTATAATTATAATAGAAATTTGCTGTCCTACACTACGTTTTTGTTAGCCATTTCTATTGTTCGTTTCTTAAAAATCACAACTTTGTTTGGGGTGCAAGAACTTTCAGACTAACATTTAGTTCCATTCAACAGCACATGTTTTGTCTAGCTAATCTATTTGTCTTGGAATTTGTACCATACCCGCCCCTGTGGTATCTCAATGTCTTTAGGACCATATTTAATCTAACATACAGTAAAACTCCAATAGCCCGGCACCCAATTGTCCGGCACTCCCGATACTCCAGCATCAAAATGGCAAGCGCTCCCGGCCAGCTGATTGAAAAGCCAGCCACTCAGTGCATGGTGCCGGCTGTACCTGGACCCAAGCATAAGGTTGGGGCGGAGGGGAGTGAGTGGGATTGGGTTACAGCACCGAGAATAGTGTTTTGCTCCAGGGAAGGGAAAGGGGGAGAGAGTGGAGACCAAAGTTGTTGAGCCGTCAGCCTTGCAGAATGAGGTAAGTATGGGGGCTGAGGGGATCAAGGGGGGGAGGCAAGTTGCTTCTCAGTTTAAATCTCTGTGGTAATCACAGGATAATCTACTGTATTTTCTGATGCCGGTAAGGTTCTAATATAATTACAATTCTTGTGCTTCAGTAAAACTGTTTTGTAGACAATGAGACATGCACTTTTGGGTACGTCTACAAAAGGAAACTATAACATTTCAAATAATAACTCTCAAATTAACTATTTATGTATGTCTGCACTAGAGGGGAGTCTTGAAATTAGTCCGAGGCAGGCTCCCTTAATGTGAATGTGCTACCTCGACTTAGAGCCCCAGGAAGCAATTACTTTGAATGACTCTGGGGAGTAGTTATTTCAAAATAGCAGCAGTGCAGCACCCATACTACTGCTATTTCAAAATAACTATTTTGAAATAAGCGCTATTCCTTGTGGAAAGCAGAAGTTATTATTTCGAAATAACCAGCTCGTTATTTTGAAATAACGGGCTTGGTAGTGTGGATGTCCCACCCAGGGCTTCCCAGCAGACTCCTGGATGCCTCATGGCCCTCACCTCTGGGGCTCTCTGGTCTCGCAACATCCATGGTACTTCTGGATCATGGATCTTGCTGGACCATAGTGTCCCAGATTTGGGAGCTTCAACTTGTAGTATCATGATCTTTCATAGGTAGAACCCTCTTCATTAGTACAGCTTATCTGATGAAGTGGATTTTACTTACAAAAGCTCATGGTACTGTATATTTGTTAGTCTCCAAGGTGCCACAGGACTACGGGTATGTCTACACTAGCCCCCTAGTTTGAACTAGGGAGGCTAATGAGGGCGACCAAAATTGCAAAAGAAGCAACCTTACTTCGAATTACCACTTAAACTTCATGGAATGTCATGGAATGAGGTTTAACTGGTAATTCAAAGTAAGGGATTTATTTCAGAATCGCCCTTCTCTGCCGCGTCTATACACGGGCAGTTATTCCAGGCTAGTCAACTTCCAATATGGCGACCGCCCAGGAACATGCTAATGAAGCACAGTATATTTAAATCCCGCGTTTCATTTGCAATTTCGGTCGCCCTCATTAGCCTCTCTAGTCCAAACTAGGGGGCTAGTGTAGACATACCCTACTAGCTGTTTTTAAAGTTACAGAATCACATGGCTACCCACAAAGACAGTCATAGGTGCCAACTGACTTTGTCAATATTTTTCCAATTCTGCAGTGGCATGTAGAGCACAAACAAACAATCATTTACAACAGATAGAATAATTCATGTGACTATAGCCCTTTTTTACTGTTTCAATTTGTTTATGAATTAGTCTTCACGGACACATTATGCAAACAATTTCAGCCTATGGACAATGGAAACTTCAGTTTGACTATTCATTATTAGTGCTGTAGAATTGATCATTAGATTATGAGTATTAATATTCTGGTTTCACTATAAAGATTCCATCCCTGATTGTTCTAGCCAGAGTGTACATGCAAAATAGCAGACAGTCTCTGTTCTAAGTATCATAGGGTATGTCTACACAGCAGGGCTAAAGTAAAATTAAGATATGCAATTGATGTAGCTAAAGTTGTGTAAGCTGAAATAACTTAACAGGGATTCAGGCAATGTCTACACAGCAGGAAGTCGAAAGAAGAACACTCTTCTTTTGACTTCCCTTACTCCTTGGTTCATGGGGCAGACTCACCATCATAGTACCTCCAGCTGGCAGTCCTGGGAATTAGCTTGATGACTCGTGGATGCCTCCCTCTAACTGGTGTCTCCCTGTTTTCTCTTTCACTACGGCATCCGCTTCAGGACCCTGGTCTCCAGCAGTGCCCACACACTGACTGAGCCCCCCCTTCCAGGGGTTGGTAATTATCCTGCCTGCACTCCAGGGTCCTCCCTTCCCCAGGGAAGACTTGCCTCAGTGACCTACTGCCAGTCTTCATCTAGCCCCTGCCTCAGGCAAACTGCAGTCTGTAATGGCCACTCATCACTGGCAAAGGGGTGTGGACCTGCTGCCCCTGCCTACCATGACTGCCTCTCTACAGCCCTAGTAGCCTCAGTTCAAGCCTTGCAACTTTGGAGCTTGCTTGGCCAGAGTTTCCCCAGCTGTGCCTTCCTTCCCCAGCGATGATCTACCTCCTAGAAGCTTCCTGCTTCCCTGGTTGTCAGGCCACTACTGCTCTCTAGCCAGAACAGCAGTCAGTTCTTCTTCTCCCTCCAGGAGTCCTCTTTATATAGCCTCAGCTGGACCCTCATTAGCCAGAACTGCCTCAGCTGGAGCTTTGCTCTCAGTCCTTGCTCAGGTCTGGGGTTTTGCTCTTAAAGGGCCAGCAAGTGCAGGGCAAATGCCCTGTCACACTTGTGAAATGAGGGTTACTATGAGTCAGAGTAAGAAGTCCTCCAGCTCAATATTATTTCAAAATAAAGGCTTAGGGTGCAGACATGCTCTTTATTATTTCGGAATAACATCAGTTATTCAGAGATAAGGCTGCTGTGTATCCATACCCATACAATCTAAAGCCAGGTTACAGAAACAGATACAAAGAACAAAACAAGGAACTTGTCTAATGTACAGATCTTGTAAATTACGGTGAAATTTCTTCTCATGTTTCTCTATGCATAACAATAACTATATCCCTACTGCCACCAATCTTTCCTGTTTCCAGGCACCTGATTGGATGTCTGGAATGCTTTAAGAAAAAAACCTGATTCTAAGAGATGAGTAATGAGGGTATACTTGTTAGTATGAATTTTTGGATGAATAAATGTTTTCTAAAATTTATTAAGTTTTTGAGATATGTAAATATTTTAAAAAATAACCAGCAGCTATCCAAATGCTATCAAACATGTAATAAATAATAAATAATACCCTTCATGTAACACTATACAAACATATCTCTTTTATTCACAAGAATATGATCAGATCCCTGTTTCTACTGTTCTGAAGCTCATGTTCTATACATTTGGCAATGATACAGATTGGATCTCTATAGTCCAGACTTCCATTATCTGGCAACATCTGTGGTCCAGCATGCCGGTGGGTGCTTCCATACTGGAGCTCTCACTGGGAAAAGCTGGACCCCATGCCTAGCAACTTCTCCCCTGCCTTTCCAGGGCTTCCAGAGTTCCACAGACAGATCATTTGATCGTTTGTGGTGCTCAAGCTCAGGGAAGAAAGGGGAGAAGCGAGAATGGGA